AAACAAACTGTGGTACATACACACAATGGAATACTATGCTACCTTGAAGAACAACAAGGAAGCTGCAAGCCACCGCATAACATGGATGAACCTTGAGGGCATTATGTTGAGTGAAATTAGTCACAAAAAGAGAAATACTGCACAGGACCACTACTGTAAAAGACTAAGGGAAAGAACCCATACTAAAAGGGGGTGGAGGGACTCTTTGTTGACTATTGGGATGTTGGGTGTGGGTGAGGGGAGGAAGGGGAAGGTGGAACACAGGGCAGGGATTAGACACAGGATAGTGTGGGTGCTGGGGAGGGAGCAATATACAAGTAGGGAGAGGGGAATGGAAGAACAAAGCAGATGGGAGAACAATTAGGTCTCAATGGGCTAAGTGGGACAGAGGTAAATAATGATATATGCACAACCTGGGAACAACAGGGTTCTGGGATACAGAGATTGAGCCATGGTTGGAATGGGGGAAAGGAGGGATAATGTTAAGATGCTTGGCTGTCTTTTGAAACTTGGTTTTCCTGGCATTATATTATAAAATAGACACTGGAGGGGAAGAGAAAGGAATAGCGTAAAGCATCACCATAGAAAGCTTGTAAGTCCGTCTTCTGTCTGTAACTGATTGGAATACCTAAAATGGGGCTACAACATGCCCAGTGAAGGAGGCTTCCTGCGGAGCCTCTGTGATACATAAGACTATAGGTGGAAGCCTGAACCACATCCAGATCTCCAGAGATGGGAAATTCCCACTTGAAAGGACAAGCAGACCAGCCGGGAGTGGCTAGAAGAACAGAAGATACTTCTTGAAAGAAAGACTTACAGGAAAAATATAAAACAACACAGGCAGACCGACGGTTACTATAAGAACAAACAACTTGCTTGCCCAGGAAACATCAAGGCAAGTGGCCGGGTCCCCTCAGAGAAACCCCCCTTCCAAGACTAAGACTCAATGGGAATACACACTGTGATTGGTGACCACACTAGACACCGATAAGGGAAAGTGAGGGAAAAACAGCAATGAAGTGGTGAGCTGAGCCCTAAAATGTTCAATAGACTTCTGTGAACCCAGGTGAAGACCTGGTTGACCAGCAGTGTGACAAGACCTGGGGACTCTTGGGCCCAGAGTCAGTGACATAGCCACAGAGGACTAGAGTGGAAAGTGAAGCGTCCAGCTGATAAGAAGAGAGGGCATATGCATAAGAACACCCACACTTGCAGATAATACCCACTTGTCCTGGCTTCAATGACTGGATGATCAGAGCTCAACCAGAAGTAAAAAGAAAAGGAAAAAAAAAAAAGTATTCTCATATAATTGATGAACTTGACCTATACCTATGGAAGCAGTAACTCAAAAGAGGGAACAAGTCCTTACAGCAAGAATCATTCCTACCCCCTCCACACACAGAGTAGACAGGGATGGGCAACTTGGTCATTGGCTACTGAAAATGGGGGATGGGGGGCGAGGGGTGCTACAAAGGCAAGAAGTGACTGGCTTACAAGCTTTCAAGAGGGAACCTAGATCCAGAGGGCCTGGAGGAAGGTAGAATCTCCAGTGAGTAGTATTCAAT